GCTCTCACACCCAAGCCTCTAGCCTACACTTCAGTTCTTCCCAGCAACATTTTAGACAGCTTCCTCCCTCCTCTTTTCCCTCCCCCAGCCCAATCCTCTTACCGTTAAATGTTCCATATTTTTGGTTTATCTGTTAACTTGGTTTGTCTGTCATCTCAGTGGTTCCTCTTTTTTTTTTTTTTTTTTGTACTTTCTGGAATGGAAATTTAGCTCTGGAGGTTCAGGTTTGACTTTTGGGCAAGAATCTTTCACAAGTGTTGTATCCTCCTCTACCATAATTGTCTGGGTACTCACAGCCAGAGGTGCTAAGAGGGGTTGGCTCACACTTCTCTCTTTCAGCAATGTTATAGCTGAAGATGCCCCATTTCCACTCTTCTAGGATGTCCTCAATTTTTATTATAGCTACACAGACCCACTGGGTGAAACTATTGGGTGGAAAGGAACAAATTAAATTATTGTCTCCCTGAAATGGGTACTTCTGGCTCAGTTTCTTTATTTGTAAAGGTGACACATCACAGAGACCCTCCGAAGCCCATGTCTCTTTAATTCTTTGTGATGGGAATTTACTTTTAAATTAAGTATTGTTGGATTGCCAATTTTAGGAATAGTTTCATTTCTTGCATATGAAATACTCTTCAGTGACATCCTTGGCTTGAGACTCCCCTCCACTGCCACCTTAACCACCACACAGCTGCAAACAACCACTGTAGGGGTGGGGCATTCACCTCTGCCAGTGTGACAGAAGCCCACCTATGTTTTTTTTTTTGTTTTTAAATATTTGTTTTATGTAGGCATACAGAACTGGGGTGCAGGCAGGAGATGCAGGGGCAGTGAGAGGATTCTCTAAAGACAGAGGGGGAAGCAGAACAGGCAGGTGGATGAAGTACATGGGTGAGGGGAGCAGCAGGCAAGACAGAAGAGGTCTGCCACGCCATGTGGGTCACCTCCCTGGCCGGGGCCCGAACTCATGCTGCCGTGGCTGTGGATCACTTCATAGTGCTGTGCTTTAACCCACTGTACCACCAGGGAGGGCCCCACCTAGTTTCTTATTGGCATCATCCTAATTAAGCTGATTTATTGTTCAAGACCAAGGGCCCCCTTTATCTGCATACTACATACCAAGCTCCCTACTGGTCTACACACCAGGCTCCTCATGGTGGCTGCTAAAACACAAAGATGGGCTTAGCATCACCCAAGCCTTGGGCGGTTTCGAGGACACCATGTTGGCTCCTAAAGCCCACTGCACTCCCAGCAGCAGGGGGTCAGGGTGGAGCCCAATCTTGAACACCCCCAGCCTCTGTATGCACAAGAGGCTACCCAGAAAGAGGTGGAAGTGTTTAATGCAATATTAATAAAGAAGACTTCTCATTCATTCATTAGTCCCCAAGTTGTGTTTAGAATAATGTCAGGCCATGATTTTTCTTGAAGAGCAGTCACAAGTGCCTGTTCTAAGTGTGCAGAGACAGGCTGGGGAAACAGCTGTGTAGATCCCACAGCAGCGGTTGAACTCCTGGCTGGCTTTTTCCCTAGCAGTGGCAGTAGCAGTAGCAGCAGATCTGACTCCTTAAAGAGAAATTCCAAACTCCAAATGGAAGTATCAGAACTACATGTAATTAGAATTAC